ATTTGCGCATGTTAATATATTTATAAGTAGTTTTTATTGCGTCTTATATAGCTTCGGGGATTGTCTATAAATAATAAAATTACCTATTATTTGCATCAATATGTTTTTCATGCATTTACAGTTTTATGTGATGCGAAGGCACAAATTGTCGCTTAAAATTGTAATTCATTATGAGAAACTAAAGGCGTCGATATTGAGAGAGAGAGTGAGAGAGAGATAGAGAGAGAGAGAGAGAGAGAGAGAGTGAGAGAGAATATTAGTGAATACCCTTATCAAAAGCCTATCAAGGACCCTTGAGCATAAAATATTTCATTCGACTTACCACCACTATTTTGTACATATTTACGAAGGGCGTTAAACAAATTGAGCGTGAAAGAAAGGAAAAGTTCTCTGTACAACTCCTAGGGCAAGGAGCGATTATATATTTATTAAGTCAAAATAACTGGTCAAAGTAATATATCATCGGAATGCGTGACTCGCAGGTAGTACGAAGCATCGTTTGTCTTACCCATCTCGGACCATTTCCACTGGAAGTTTGAGCGTTCATTTCTCTCTGTAGACTGGACGTGGAGGGGTTGTCGGAGATGACACGTAGAGCGTCTCCATATTAATAGGTCGTCACCATCAAGTGTATATTGGTCCAAGAGTTGGAAAAATCAAGGGGCGATGACAGTCGAAGGGGGTAAGGTAGGCGTCAGATTCCGGGAATTGGGCGCCCACGGGTAAATTACCCGCGTAAGTGTAAAAACCGGTCTCGACGGCTCCAGCTGAGCGTCGTCGCGTTGGTGACGGTGGCGGTGGTGGCGATGGTGGTGGTGGTGGCGATGGTGGTTGGTGGTTGATGGTGGTGGTGGTGGTGGTGGTAACGGTGGCAGTGGTGGTGGTGGTAGTAGTGGTGGTGATGGTAGTGGTGGTGGTAGTGGTGGTGGTAGTGGTGGTGGTAGTGGCGGTAGTGGTGGTGGTAGTGGCGGTAGTGGTGGTAGTGGTGGTAGTGGTGATAGTGGTAGTGGCGGCGGTTGCGGCGGTGCAGGCGAGGAGGCGTCGCGAGTGGGGCGCGAGCTCGAGCGACGCGTTGGTGAGATCAGCGTCGGCGTTGGCCGCGAGTGCGCGACTGTCCTCCAGCAGTTGTGCGTGTGCGTGTGCGTGGAACAGAGGTAACCTCGAAAGGAGCCGAGGGCGAGGCGGTCGTCGTGGATCGGGCCCCGATGGAGGCTCGCGGCCCCGGCTCATCGAGTGCGCATCGTCCTCGGGGCGCCTCCTTAGTCGTCCCCCCTCGTCCTGCGGGGTGTGGGTGCGAGTCACGCAGCAGCCGAGCCACGTAATCGTTATTGCGGCCGTGCGCATACGGCGACTCCTGGCCCCCGACGAGTGGCACAGTCTATATTCGCGCCTCCCTCGTGGAAGAGGCAGCTTTTCCTCGTGCGACCCCTGCCGTGAGCCGCGTTTTTCCTCTAATATCTTGCCGAAGTTCGGGGCTGCCAAACACTGTGACAAACACTCCGCCGAGGTTTAACCAGCCAGGTAGCTTCCATTTTCAAGGTGAGTTGGTAATGAGCTTCCCGCATTCTCTTTGCATCCTCTTCCTAAATAAAAGTGCGATCGAACGCAAACCGCGCGACTTTGGCCCGCGCACTCGAGCCTAATGCTGCGGTCGTAGGGCTCGTGTGCAATCCCGAATAATTCTCTTAGGTTATTTCGTCTAACCACATTTTTCAAATCTCGTGTGAGTAGTACGTAGGTGTGCTGGCTGGCGGCTTCGCGCCGTGGGAAAGTAATTTGCATGTACTGCTAGGAATAGGTAATAAGCCTGTCGTCGTGAAAGCGGTGTAAGTGCATTATTTCTCGCGGTTGAATTATCCCTATTGTTTTAGGACGAATGGCTCAAGTGCTAGATTTTCCGACGAAATCCATTCGAGGCGATATGCTCTCGTTAATGCATTTTACGAAATATTTATTCGCCGCTCACTTCGCTTTTCACCGATGCGATGTTTTATTAGCGACTCTAGTCAATTACTTTAGCAGATTGAGAAAATTTAATCTCTTTGAAAAGCTGAAGTATGCTAATACGACGTCCAATGGATTTGCCACCATCGATGCTCCCACGCATGTATATTGTTATTTAATTACAGTTACGTACGAGCGACAATGTGTATTATGCTTTTAAGGCAAAATTTAGGCTGCAATTTAAGCTCGTAATTTGAAAAAAAAAAAAAAAAAAAAAAAAACCGCGCTCTCATGCAATGGATGCAATGGATGTGCATTAGTAATATTCGAAATAATTATTAATAGACGATAGACAAATGTTACTTGTCTTATTAAGAGTCGAGCTTTAAGAATACAAACTAACAGTTCTACGTACTGATAACATATACTTTCAAATAACTAACTCGTGAAAATGTTTGGCCAATTCATCATAAAACGACAACGTTCGTCCAATTAATGTAATCGTAGATTTTATCATAATACTTTAAGGATAAATATTCGGAAATAGAAATTTCACAAGTGATTTCTAATGTCATCTTCGAAACGGTATTATTATATTCTAGAAACTATTTATCGACTTTTTTTCTCTCTCATTGAAAATATTTCTTATGTACTACTAGCAATGCACAATAATTTAATATTTAATTTCATTGAAATTCCATCAGGATGTCTGTCGCTCTTTAGCCCTCTAATTAATTAAAAAGTTCAATTTTTAAATGATTACTCTTTTACTTGAAACTAAACACATTATAATTAAATATGTAATGTTTCGGAAAACAAGCTCTAAACTAATCGCAAATAACAATGAAAAGATGTCGACTTTTCTCGGAAAGAAATTTTAAAATCAAGTGAGTTAGGTATTTAAATTCATAAATATTGGATTAAAATTGGCTTTTAGTATATTTCGATTTTAGTCGCGGATGAGGTAACGTTACGTTCATTTTGATAAATAAGAGTAGGTAAGATAAATGATTTTGAAAGCGAATAGCAATAATTTAAAATAGTGTGATAAATTCTGTCTTGTAGATACAAATATGAAAAGTACATTTATTTTATCGTGAAACAATGGAAAGGAGGAAACCGCGGGGACAGAATTTACTATAGAAAATGCTGCATGCCTGACTACACTCTCCGCTTTTCTACTGATTTAATGCATAGGCATCGCACCACATATATCCACCAACGTTTTAACTATAATCGCATCTTTCTTTACTTTTCATGAGGTAAAGAAGATGAAGAGGTTTTAAATTTTAACGTAGACTAACTATCTACTTGGCTTCCTAAATCTTCAATTGCAACTTTGTAAAAAGTATTGCGTATAAACAGCTTACTTTTTTTTTTTTTTTTTTATTCTAATTTCAGCGTAACTGTAAATTACATCTTCTTCTTCTTCTTCTTCATCTTCTTCTTCATCTTCTTCTCCTTCTATCTTTTGCCATCTTTATACAACGCTTATTGGTCCATTTAGACTTTCAATGAATTTCATTGGAATTTCAACATTAATATTATTGCTTTAAATTCGAGTATAAAATAAACAATATCACAATATCCACATTTCACGTTCTTCCGTTCAATTGAGTATAGTTAATTTAAAATGATATTTATAATTTATTATTTTAAATTTTCATGAAATATAAACAAAAATTGTGCACACACTCTTCAAAGCCGAGCTATTTATTCGTACGGTTAAATGCTGTGAAACTCGTAGGCGATTATATTTAAATGAATTTTGAATTACTTTCAATATATTATTATCAACGAGACATTTTATGTTGGAAAGTAGTATATTGTTATGTCTAAAAAGGAACGATAAACAATAGCAAAATAAAGAAAAAAAGATATGTATAGAGAGAGAGAGAGAGAGAGAGAGAGAGAGAGAGAGAGAGAGAGAGAGAGAGAGAGAGATGTATTTAAAATGTTAAACTTTTTAGCCTTAAAGCTTTTAATAGTCAAGATTTTAATTTGAAATAATTCGCACTTAGGGAATATTTATCACGATTGAGATATTTTTTGTCACACTGAATGGAGATCTCGTGGCGTTACATAATAAAAGATCTTTCCAAATTTTGAAGGGAAACGTAAATTTTAAACGCCAATGTCTCCTACGCTTTCTTATTCCTTGAAAATTCTTAATAAAACTTAATTTTTGTATATTCATTTTATACTCTTCTCTCTCCCTCTCTGTAACATGACTCAAAATGGGATAAAATACATGTATGTTTTTTCTTCAGTTTATAAAGTATAATAAACAGCTTAAAATCGCATAAAAAGATATTTTATTAAAAAGCTTGTTCGAATTTTCATATAAAGTTACGTCCAAGATTCGTTGCTTGCGCGAGTAATCCCATGATTGAGCCCCTCCTGTCTCTCCCACCCCTTTATCATCTTTATCTACTTAGGGTGTAATCCGATTCTCATAACAAATCATTCACAAGTAGAATAAAGATAAATTCATCTTTACCTGCCACACCCACCTTAAAAATCCATAAGGATTCGAGAGCGAAACGAGGCGGCACTACCGCCCAGACATAAATGCCGTTTTCCCCGACAGCCAGACAAATCGACGCCACGTTAAAGTAAAAACAAAAGCAGCCCCTCTTCCAGCATCTTTCAAGCATCTTTCCAGCATCTTCCACGACTGGTTAATGAAACCGTAAGGGTGGCGAGTACAACGAGGCCACAAGGCGCGTCGTCCGAAACTCCTCGAGCGTCTCGTCCGGAGTCGCGCGAGTATGCCCAATTACGGGACAACGAGTCGAGATTCGAGCGTTTTAACGGCCCGTTAATGAGAGCAGCGGGTAGGGCTTGAAGAGACGGTCGATCCATCTCCATACACAGCCTCGGCCTTTCATAATCCCCTTAGAGCGTCATAGAAACGTCCTCGTCAATATAGTGTGCGTGTGTCATTTGTCGCAGGTCAGAGGATGGGCCCGAGCGGAGGCCGGCCCCGGCCCGGGGGATCAGCAAGCAACGGACGCCGATGGCCGGGGCCTCGACGGAGCGCGGAGGACGTGATGTGGCGTCGGCGGGCCCCGGTGCGCCCGGCCTGAAGAGAGCCCGGCGATGAGGTAGCACGACCACTGACAGAGCACCGGATCCCGATTATTCGCAAGAAGTACACGGACCCCGGCACCAAGGCAACATGGTCGATCTCGGAGGATACATCATCATTCTGATGAACCAGTGTGACAAGATGAAGCTATACGGTGAGTCCTGCGGAGTCTTGGGGCCCCGATTTTCTTCTCTCTCCTCGTCTCATTCACCCGATGATTCACCCGATGATTCACCCGATGATTCACCCGATGAGCCTTATATTTCCTTACCACCAGTAGCTCCAAGCTCCGAGCCTTTCCTCAGGCTCGCCGATTAATTTTCACGTTCGTTCGTTGACGTTATTGTCGCAAAATAATCCGGAGAAACGCGGAATTTAATTAAAATGGCGAAGGTCTTTATTGCACGAGGGGGCTCTATTATGAAATATGATGATACGAGCAAATATCATGACGATCGCTAAATCTCAATAACTTTCTCAAGGATTTACATAAAAATTATTCAGGGTCCAATAGGCCCTGCACATGCCATCGAAGCAAATTGATTAACCTAAAGTGCAAACTATGTCCGTCCTGCAATGCAATAAAATTGAAAGTACCAGAGTATTAATCTTCGGATAACTAATTAATTTGCCACTTTAAGCCCTTTGCTCAACACTCGACATTAGAGTCAGGATATTATTTTTCACGATGCATTGAATATTGCGAATGGCCGACTCGCCGATTACACGGGGCAAAAATCTTTTCAACACACGACGTCCGCTTATTGTTCCGTGCCATGCCCGAATGTGGAATACTACGGGTTTCGATACGTCCAAGCGCATAAATAGCGACGCCGCACACAAGCTACGAAGACGCAAGCAGGAATTTCCAAGTAATAAGAGCCTCGTTGTTTCGATGAGTTTTGTGTTGGCTGCGCGCGGGCCTAGGATGGGCGATGGGACTACAATGAGGTCGCGAGTAAAACTACGAGGATACGCATAGATACGTATAAGCTTTTAAAATAGTTTGGAAAGAAACCCAGCGCCCCAATTATTTAATCGTATTTGATGGACGATTGAGCGAGAATGGGAATTTATTTAAAGCGATGCGGACGTGTCGCAGCCAGGGAACGAAAAAATTAAGAAATCGAATGTTCCGTAAAATATCGAATGTTACGTAAACGAAGATGTAGTGCTTTGTAGTTCCTGGCTAAACCACGAATGACAGTGATCAGTCGTAACAAATACATCTTTATAAATGTAATAATTCGTGGATAAACTGCCCCGCCCTCCTCCACCGATTAAATCTCGCGGAAACCTCCAAAGTGATTTCTTCCTCCGTAGCGACGGCGCAGACTCGCATCTCACTCTCTCTCTCTCTCTCTCTCTCTCTCTCTCTTCAACTGACGGGAATATCATTAAAGCTTTCTATTTCGGCCCCCTTCCGCGAGCTGGAGTGAAAAAGGAAGTCGTGAGAATGGTGTGATGAAGGAGGTGGAGGCGGAGGAGAGAGAGAGAGAGAGAGAGAGAGAGAGGATTCTTCGCATTGTTCCCAGTCGTTATTTGCGTCCGAAGGATTTCCTATCTTCGAAAGCGCCAGATATCGGCGCTTTTTCAATATTTCTACGGCAATTCTCAACTCGGCGACGGCTCACGCGTAGTAATTAAAACTCCAACACTGCTCCTCTTACAACTCTCATCCTGTCTATTCTACTTATTTTTATCGCGCCTCAGCCGTGCATTTGAGCCGTCGGAGAAGCTCCGGATAGCAGCCATCGCCGACAAATTTCAATATCTCCCGCTCTTCTAGCGTCTTCGTCTTCATCCCCCCCCCCCCCCCCCCCTCCCCATCCCCCTCCCCCTCCGCCATATCAACCACCTTTCACCCCCATCACAAACCCCTTCATACCAAACTCTTCCCCCTTCCTCCCTCATGCCAATTGCGCTGCAATTGCATAATGCAACTGCAGGAATGGAGTTTGCACGATCGCAGAAAGTTAATATCTTGGCAGTGCTGTTTGACATGGAAAAAGTAATTCACGAAAGCTTTCACGTGTTTTGCAATAAAAATAACAAAATTATTACTACACTCACTGTATTATTGTAGCTTCAATTTAAGGACACAGTTTAAATGTATTTTATAGAAGAAACATATATTTTCAAGATTTATTCTTTTTTATTTCTTTATAGTTTCCGTTGCACTATCTCATTCCTATGAGAAACACAAGCCTATATATAAAGTGATATAAAATGAAAAATTTTCAAATATAATTATTTTAAATGCATTTAACTTTATTACGTTATTCGTTCAATATGTTGTTAAATGAACATAAAACAATAATTAAACTGCAAAGTACAATAACATCGACCAAATGCATAATAAAACATAGAATGCCTCTTGCAGATAATAGTTTTTTTAACCTCCCCACCTACCCCACACAAAAAAAAAAAAAAGAAAAAAAAGAAAAAAAAAAGAAAAGACAAGAAAAAGACTAATAGCACACGACTTCGATTGTATTTGATATTTAAAAGTATATAGTATTTTAGGGTGGGATAACAAAATAAATTCCAGTAGTAAAAAGTATCGGTATCGTATGTGTTTTTCGATCAGCACGACATGTGGATTAAGTGCAGTAGTTTTAATTAGGGAATAAAATAAATTGAAATGGAATATATAGGGAATGTATGCTGGTGTATTGAAAGTAAAATTTTTATAATTATAGTGAGTAATTTATCTAATGTTGAACTTGTAATAAGAGCAAACAAATATCTGCTTATTCGAATTATAAGAAATGCAGGTTTTGTAATAAAATTTTGTTCACTTGTTTCAAAGTATTATATTAGATTAAATGGCTACTGGATTTCTATCTCCGGTACTATTCCTTACTAAGACAGTGCTTAATTATATAATTACCAAGTGTTTTCTGTTAAATAACTCAATTTCGCACATGTGCTCTCAACAACAGATTTATGACTTTAAAGTTTCCAATTTTACATCACCCCTACCCAATGATATACGAGTAAATAGTTTTAAAGGCCCTTTATTGCAATGGAACTAGCCTACGTGTTGTTTCTAATCGATAAAATAAGCTTGTAATATATAATTGCAAAATAATTTTCATTCGAGGAGGAATTGGAAAAAAATGAAGTACCTATTATAAAAAAAAAACAATATATATATATATATATCTGTGTGTGTGTGTGTGTGTGTGTATATATAAATCAATGAAATAAAAATGAATATTCCGAACGCTTTTTATATTTCTATAATCAAATAGCTCTTTTAAGCATTGAACAGTTTTTAAATTTCCCTACCATTATTTAATAACATAATAGTTAATATTTTCTTCTATATCATTACATCGATATTTAATAATTTTCGTATTATCAGGAATTTTTTAATGTGAATCTGCAATATTACAAAATTAACATTTATTTATTATTATGAAACACAACTATTTGGATTTAGATGGATTTTTAAAAATTATCAAAAATTAATATTAATTTTATACAGTATTAGAGCGAATAAATAATAAATGTACAAAACAAACGATAATCTATCAGAATCATTTGAGTTTGGCTGTAAATAAATTTTATTACACTAGTGATATTAATCATGAAATGTCAAGGAAGAGAAGAAACATTTCCAAACTATTTAGTGTATAACAAGCAAACTATAATTTTCTCTTTAAACTCAACTTGTAATTAGAATTTGAAAACTTTCAAAACATTAGTTAAATAAATATCTCAAAATTTGTAAACATATTTTTAAAATAATTCAAATAATTCGGCAATTACTTCACTAATTATAATCACTTTTTAATTTTTTTTTTTTTTTTTTATTTTTTTAAATACTCTTTAGACTTTATAGAAATACATTTACATTTATTGAAAAATTATTTAAACTACTAAAGACACACACACACACACACGCGCGCGCATATATATATATATATTTCATATATTATCATTATCTTTATAAAAATCAAGCAAATTATTTAAATGTTTTCAATATTATCGTTTCTATTCAAATATATTTTTAGTTATTTCTAATACAATTTTCGTATATCATTAAGCACTGACCGGAAATTCCATTGGTAATTTAATAATTTACATGTATTTTATAAGTATAATATTTGACGTTTTAATGGAAGTTAATTAGTTATTACATTACCAATTATTTATACGCCTTTAATATGTGGAATTTGATTATTGCAATACAAAAAATCTTAATAAATTGCAAGTACATCAGTTGACAGAATTTTAAATTTACTAGAAACTTTATCGAGACACCGAATTTATTGACTTACAAATTGACTTCAGCCACTGTATATTTATTTTAAAACATACGAGGGAAAAACTTTATCTGTTTCCATCTGCAATTTTTTTAATCGACAATATATCGGTATAAATATTTACATTTCTTATTTATTTTCATCAATCATTATTATATACAATTAAATGTTTATTATTATTGCACTAACAATGCAATTAGAATACGTGATTTATTATAATGATAATATAATTTCATAATTGCTCTATATTTCTCACTATGCATGTTTCTCATGATAAATAGAGTATCTTATATAAATATAGTACACTTGTTATGATAAATATACTTAGAGTAGATAGGGTGGAAGACTAATAATTTAGAAAAATGTATGTTTTGCATTAAGTGACAGTAATTGTCGGATAATAAATAAAATTATTAGTAGTTATAATATCCTCATAATTATTGTTATTGTCGTTATTATTATTAATACGTTCAAATTTTAGGATATCGATCAAAAAAAAAAAAAAAAAAAAAAAAAAAAAAAACAACAACAACAACAACCTTTTAATGCAAATGTAATGGAGCTATTGTTGAAAAAAATATTCGTGATATGTAATACAAGGGATTTTAATGAAAAAGTTGAGCAATTATTTAAGAAAATATTATAATATATGTTATAAAATGCTAGTATAAGAACAAAAATCAATTATATATGTTCACCTCGTACATTTTCTCAAAGGCTTGACAATAATTCTTACTCAGTTACGGAACTGTAAATAAGCATAATTTTTTTTTTTTTTATATGCTTGCCAATATATTTATTCATCTGAATTCAACCAAAAATACTACGTATATCAATTAAAATGTAAGGTTATGCAATTTAAAAAATTGTATGATATAGT